GGGAGGACCCTGCGACGCGCCTCTGCCAGGGGCATGATGGGGGTGGGGGGTGGGGGGTCTGAACTTCTGAGCCTCGCGCCTCGTCTTTAAAAGAGTAATTCTCACAGCAGCCCTGCGCCCTGAGCGTCCGCGGGGCGAGTGAGACGGGCATCCCATAACGGTTGCCGGTAACCAGCGCTCTCGTTCCTCTCTGTCCCTCATCCCCTCTCACGTTCTCTGCTTTCCCTGCTCACTCTCACTCTCACTCCTCCCAGCAGGGGTTGCAAATGGAACGGGGCTGCACTCAGAGCTGAGCGTTCTGCTTTCTGTTGGCTGTGGTCCTCGGGCTCCCTAACCTGGGGCAGTTTGTAACGGTTCACGAGTGTGTGCTGTGCGCCAGGCACTGTGCTGTCTGATTTTAATCCTCACAACCCAGGGAAGTAGGTAGCGTTGGCACCCCCAGCTGGCAGGAAATCGGAGTACACCGCTGTGGGTCACCCCGCTGTGAGGTGGCAAGAGGGAGTCTGAAATGGGGTCCCCGGGGGCAGAGCCTGTGCTCAGCGAGTAGAGTAACCAAGCCTGTGCGCTCAACCAGACACTCCGGCGGGAACGCCTGTCCTCCTTGCGTGATGGGGGGCGTTAGTGCCAGTTTGCACCCCCACACCTGCTGCTCCGCATTCCAGCCGCTCCTCGCTCCCGCCTTACCCGCTTTAAGGAAGATCATTGCCGAGGTGGATGACACTAGGTCAGGAGCTCTGAACTAATTGTGACTCCAGTGGTCCCTTCTCCTTTCAGGTCTTCCCGTAAAATTCCAGTCGTTCGGTAATTTGTCTTGAGTACCTAATGCAGCATGTTTGGCGTTAGGGACATGTTGGTCAGCGGGACAGCGGTTAGGTGAACGAACTACCCACACAGAAGCAGGTGGGTGCCTCCATAGACTGCTGAGAGGGTGAACACTGGCAGAGCCACTTTGGACCCTACTTTGTCAGTTTCTAGACAAGTGGAAGCTACAGCCCAGTAATTACACACCTAAAGGTTTCCCTTGGAAAAACTTCCCCCAACTACACAAGCACAGGAATGGCCATAGTAGTATTGTTTATATAAACCAAAAAATGGAATTGGCCCAGATGTTCATTCAACAGGCTGGATAGAGAAGATGTGATGGTGTGCTATGTCTGCCACAATGAAAGTGAGTGGATTCAGTGTATCAAGCTATTTAGTAGAGGAGCAAGTTGCAAGAGAATTATACAGTATGACAACACTTAGGTGGAGGTGAAAAATGAAAACAACAGCAAGTCCTCACTTAAACATTGTCCGTAGGTTCTGTGTGTAAGCAAAAGACATACAGGCATACTCTGTTTTATTATGTTATTGCGCTTCACAGATGTTGCGTTTTTACAAATTAAAGGTAAGACCTTCACCTGCAAAAAGATTACGACTTTCTTTGTTGCGATACTTGCTTTACAGTGTGGCCTGAAACGGAACCTGTAATATCTCTAAAGTCTGGCAGTGTACAGAAACCAGCTTTACTCTGTGCTAATTGGTATAAACAAGAATTAAATGCCTATGGCATCTCATCAACGTTATCATGAAATGATGTTATTTGAGGACCTGCTGTATATATATCTTAGGGATACATAACGTGTAATAAAAGTGTGAAGAAATGCTGGAGAGTAATGAGTAGCTAGTTTCAGATAGTGGCTATTTTGGGGAGGTGAAGGTGGTACACTGGGGGGAAGGTGGGGGTAGTGCTGGTGGCTGTTTAGGCCTAGGGAATGATTAAAGGGACTGAGAGGAAACCAGTGAAGCTTGGAGGGAGGAGGTGGTGCGGGAGATGAGGCTGGAGAAGAAGGAATGGTCTGCAAGTGTCTGTAGATGCAGGAAGGACATCTAACCTGCCTTCAGTGTGAAATGGGGAACCATGGAAAGAGGGCTGTGGGTGCGTGTATTTGGGGGGTGGGTAGAAAGGAAGGCAGGGACATATCCCAGGTCTCAGCATGAGCAAAGTGGGGGAGTGAGCTTCCAGGAAGAGAATAAGGATAGAAGGGCACTTTCTCATGACAAAGCATGCACCACCTTTCAGGATCTGGGGGGAGGTTTATACAGGGAACTAGGCACTGCACTGGGGGGAGGAAGATCAGGTTCCAGTGCCACCCAGCTGGACAGGTAAATCTTAAATCCTGTCAGCAGATGTAAAATAGAGTTCCTCTTACACAGAGTGGCTGCAGCCCATAGTTGCCGAGCCCACAGATGTAGGCTCTGGTTTAAGCAGACTGACAAGTCTTGCTTTCTTGGAGCTCTTATTGTTTTGGTGGCAGGGAGATGGAAACAGAAAATTAAAAATAAATGAGCAAGGCCAAACAGGTTTGGCTCAGTGGATAGAGCGTCGGCCTGCGGACTGAAAGGTCCCAGGTTCGATTCCGGTCAAGGGCATGTACCTGGGTTGTGGGCACATCCCCAGTGGGAGATGTGCAGGAGGCAGCTGGTCGATGTTTCTCTCTCATTGATGTTTCTAGCTCTCTATCTCTCTCCCTTCTTCTCTGTAAAAAATCAATAAAATGTATTAAAAAAATGAATGAGCAAGAATTCTTATATCAGACATTGCTGTGCAAACAGCAAAGCAGTGGGGTGCTCAGGGTTGGGTTTCTGATAGGTGGCTGAAGATGCTGGTGTGAACTCTGGGTGGGCTTGTCTAAGGGGCAGGCCCTTCATGAGGAGTGTGAAGGTTTGGAATTAGATGATATGTGCAAGCATCCACATTTCTAAGAAAACGACCTGTAAGTCTGTGGACAGTGGGTAGCTGACCCAGGCCTCTGACCCCATAGTAGGGTTTAAGAAACATCTCACATGTGACTGCTTGTCTGCCTTTAGGAAGACCTTGAAGCTCTCATAGCCCATTTCCAGACACTAGATGCCAAAAAGACTCAGATCGTGGAGACGCCCTGCTCTCCCCCTTCACCAAGGTAAGTGAGCAGGACTCTCATTATAGTTTTCTTTTGTACATTGGAAACCGCTTTATATAGGCAGCATGTCATCATAAACAGCTAGGCACTTGGGACATTTTCCTCAGTAAAACCTGTTCTGATTAGCTCCCACAAAACATTTTTTTCACTTTTTCTGAAGAATGGCATGAGGCTGTTCAACTCTCGTCATGCAGAAACATGGGACAGCTGAGGTCTCAGCCTGCTTACCTGGGAAATTGTGCCAGGTTTGAAAGCTCCTAACTGGTAACAATTTGTGGACTGAAGTGTTGTCCTAATGAGCTTTTCTTTGGCTCTTAAGCTATTCTAAAATTTTCTATCATGGGTGGAAAACTTAAAATTACAAAAGATTTTAGCTGTGTTCATTTTTATTGCTTTTAAATTATAGTGAAAAATGTGACTATTAAATATAAATTGTGTATAAGCCATTTTAAATGAATTTGTAAATTATGTGAAAATTTCAAAGTTTTTTGTAGGATTTCAAACACTTGTGGGAGGAGCGGAAATGAGCAGGTTTTGGTTTTCATCTGTCTTCATACTCCTCTGCGTCAGTTCTAATTGTCTTCTGAATTCCAGTTGTTTTATAATTTGGTTTTGGGCTCTGTGATTTTTATATGTGCCAGCAGTGCAGAGGCATGACACAGAATGCACTGAGAGAAGGCCAAGTGACCCTGATAATGAGATAGATACCGTGTCCTTCAGAGAAGGGGAAGCATGTTAACTGCACAAGCATCTGGGACTGTTTGAGAAATGATCTGCTTCATTGCCCTCAGATTAGTCTCCCTAGAGCTGTTGTCAGCCTGAATGGAGGCCTGGGGTCCAGCACTTCAGGAAGGGAGGTGGTTATAGTGCTCCTGTCACTTCAGTGAGGTGCAGGTGATGGCTCTGCCACTGAATTCCGATGACCTGGGACCCAGATTTAATTATCACCTGGTAGAGGGCTGGGGTTGGCGACTTGATTAGCCCCTGAGCCAAACAACCTGACACAGCAGCTCCCAGAGTTGGAAGTCCTTCCTGTTCTTCATTTAGTAAATTTCATTAGGAATCTGGTTTTATTTTCCCCTTTGTCCAGCATGTTATCGTTGGGGCCAAACAAGTTCCACTTGTGGTAGATGTACCTTTCATTTGACTTGTTGAAGTAAACAAATCCTTGAGATCTTTAAGGCTTCATATGTACAACACCCCTGAGGGAAGCCACTTGTGTACTGATTATTTTTGGGTGACATTTTATTATTTTTATTTATTTTTAAAAATATATTTTATTGATTTTTTACAGAGAGGAAGGGAGAGGGATAGAGAGTCAGAAACATCGATGAGAGAGAAACATCGATCAGCCGCCTCCTGCACACTCCCTACTGGGGATGTGCCCAAAACCAAGGTACATGCCCTTGACCAGAATTGAACCTGGGACCCTTCAGTCCGCAGGCCGACTCTCTATCCACTGAGCCAAACCGGTCAGGGCTTCGGTGACGTTTTAGAACTTTTCTAAAGTAATGTTGCCCCAAAAGCCAGGTTTAATGTCAGGATATAATTTGAAAGGTTGGTGATTCCCTGGGTCAGCTGGGAATGCTCCCTTACAGTTGATGGAGCTGAGGTATGAGATTAAGACCTTTTGGTTGGTAATCTTAGTCACTTCTCACCTCCTATCTCTCCATCATATTATGGTAATAAAACCATGAAAATGGCCAAGTTTTGTAAGTGTGTACTAGTATATCTCCCAAGTATTGGCTGAGGTGTAATTTAATGGGGAAATAAGGATATGGTGCATAGCTGCCTCAGTGCTCGAGCGCAGTGGTCCTCAGACCACTGCTGGTCCCTGAGGTCTGAAAGGTTGGCGACCGCTGCTCTAGTGTGTCTGTGACTTGGAGAAAGTGGGAGTAGACAGGCATGGACAGCAGTGACACTTAGGTACTCTGTGCCTAAGTTGAATTGTCTCCGAAGTGTGTTTGTTACTTTTCCACAGAAAATTAATGTGGTAAGTGAAAAAAAAGATTTATGGTCAAAGAACTTTGGGAAACTGGTTTCCTTTTCTTGAAAATATTTTTTATTGTGATAAAATATATATAACATAGAATTTGCCATTTTAGCCATTTTTAACTGAACAATTCTGTGGAATTACTTACATTCACAATGCTATGCAACCATCACCACCATATATTTCTAAAAATATTCATCGTCCCAATAGCTCTATACCAGGGGTCCTCAAACTTTTTAAACGGGGCCAGTTCACTGTCCTTCAGACCGTTGGAGGGCCGGACTATAGTTTTTAAAAGAAACTATGAACCAAGTCCTATGCACACTGCACATATCTTATTTTGAAGTAAAAAAACAAAACGGGAACAAATACAATATTTGTATTTGCATGTGGCCCGCGGGCCGTAGTTTGAGGACCCCTGCTCTATACCCTTTAAAGCAGTTGCTCTCCTAGTCCCTGGTGACCTCTACCCTACTTTCTGTCCCTCCGATTTGCCTGTTCTAAATATTTCATCTAAGTGGAGTGATACAATATCTGTCCTTTTGTGACTGGCTTTTTTCGCTTAGCATAAAGTCCTCAAGGTTTGTCCATGTCGTATCATGAATCTGAACATTATTTCTTTTAAGATTGAACAGTATCCATGTGCGGATGGGCGGCATTTTATCCATTCATCCATTGATGGACGCTTGGGTTGTTTCCACTTCGAGGCTCTAATGAATGTTACTGTTTTCAATTTTCTTGACTACATACCTGGGAGTGGAAAAGTCTGTTTAACTATTGAGAGACTGTTTGCCACAGCAGCAGCACTATTTTAACACTGGTTTCTTCACTGCAGAATTTCTCAGCCTGTAAGGTGTTTCTGTATACAATAAATCCCCAAGAGAAAAATAGACTTTTCAGATTTCCCAACTTAATTGACCTTGAAACTTTTTTGTTTTTTCCTGAGAAGCATCTTTTGGTGTTAGTGTGATAGGACTCATCTGGGGCGTACCACTCAAGGGGATTTTGAAAGAAAGGCATTTTCCAGTCACTGACCTTCTCATTCACCACAACTTCAATTACTTTTCACTGAAATGGTCAGAATGGATGTATGATTTCCTTACAGCTATTCCTTTGTCCTCATGTGTAAAATAGGTAGAAAATTATTTGCCATTTTTTTCTAGATGGAAGATGTCTGGGATATATATTGAAATGCTTAAATACTGGACTTTTTTTTTTTGATTTTTTTTTAAATTTTATTATTTATTACAAAGGATATTACATATGTGTCCATTTTTTCCCCCCGCCCAAGACAGTCCCCTAGCCTCCCCCATCCCCCCG